AATACGCTTTTAACTTTATATTAAAATGAAATTTAATACATTTAAAAAATTAATATGAATGATAAATCAAAGAATATAAATAAAAAATATTTAGTAAAATTACCTCTCTTATAAATTCATCAAGATATTTATTTGATTTATGAAGCAATTTAAGCGCAACAAATCTGTTTAAGCATTTACTTTTATCAAACCACATAGCAAAATATACAGTCGCAAATCCACCACTACCTACTTCTTTAATAACTTTAAACTCATCATAAGAAATCCAAGATAACTGGTATCTATTTCTATCAATAATTTTTTTAAATCATCTTCAATTTCAGAATTATGCATCCACTTATTAGTAGCTATTAGTTATTTATAAAATTTAGTTAATAAATTAAGGGACTGATACATATACCATTATTTTTGCTATTCGTACCCTAAACTTAATTATCGCATTGTATGATGTCATGTCTCTAAAATTCAAACTCCATTACTAATCGAAAGCGTGTTTAAATTTTGGAGAACCGACATCATACGATGTTATAATTGGCGAAAATTACGTATGAGGTGCGAATAATAAATAAATTAATAACAATAAATTTTATAATTGATTATAATATAATACCTAATGTTAAATCTTTTTCCCTAATCGGCGATTTAAAATGTATGAAGTTATTAAATGAGTACAAAGCATATATACCAATATATAGTGACTGAGTATTGTAATTTGTTGAACTGAAGAAGTGCTTTCGTTACACTTGACCTTATGATTGAATTGTCACGCAATAATACAGTTACACCAATTTAAACAAAATTTACCTTTGATACCAATATTTGGCTTTATCTAAATCTCTTCTTATTCCAATTCCATTTCGATAACAGTTTGCAACTATCGACATTCCATTAGCGTGCCCCATATCAGCAGATTTTTGATAATAAACGAAAGCCTTATGTTCATCCTTTTCAACTATAAGTCCGTGACGATAAAAATTTCCAATATTATATGTTCCTTCAGCATTCCCCATTTCAGCAGATTTTTGATAATAAATGAAAGCTTCATGCTCATCCTTTTCAACTCCAACTCCAAATTGATAACAAAATCCAACATCATTTATTCCAGTTGCATGACCCATCTCAGCAGATTTTTGATAATAAATGAAAGCTTTATGTTCATCCTTCTCAACTCCAATTCCATTTAGATAACAATGTCCAACATTATATGTTCCATTGGCGTGTCCTATTTCTGCAGATTTTTGATAATAAATGAAAGCCTTATGTTCATCCTTTTCTACTCCAATTCCGTGTAGATAACAAAATCCAACGTTATTTATTCCAGTTCCATGACCCATCTTAGCAGATTTTTGATAATAAATGAAAGCCTTGTGTTCATCCTTTTCAACTCCAATTCCATTTAGATAACAATTTCCAACATTATATGTTCCTTCAACATTCCCCATTTCAGCAGATTTTTGAAAATAAGTGAATGCTTTATTTTCATCCTTTATAACTCCAATTCCATGACGATAACAATACCCAACCATATATGTTCCATTGGCGTATTCCATCTCTGCAGTTTTTTTATAACAGATGAATGCCTTATTTTCATCTTTTACAACTCCAATTCCCTGACGATAACAATATCCAACCATACATATTCCATTGACGTATCCCATCTCTGCAGATTTTTGATAATAAATGAAAGCCTTATGTTTATCCTCTTCAACCCATTTACCATAACAATAACAACTTGCAAGAATGATTTGAATTATAGGATTGGAATGATCATTTAAACAAAAATTGATAATATCATCTGGATTTTGTTTTTTAATTAATAGAAATTGATCTAACGTGTTAAGAATTGAACGAGTATTTTGGCCTTTCATACTTTCTTTATCATATATGTTACATATTTCTTCAATAATTTCATTAAGAAAATCTTGTGACTTGTTATCTTCTAAATGCAATTGGTTAACATTGTTGGATAGTTGAGAAATATCCGATAGACTGTCGACTTGCTCTGGCTGCTTTTCGAATATATTATTATTTGACATTTTTTTCTCAAAAAAGAATGCGTTAATGTATTACATTTGAAACCATCAAATTTATTAAAATACGAATTACGTCGCACAGCTGTAATTGCCACACAAATATTGATGAAGATATGTTACGTTGCGAAACTGCAATTGTCATACTTATATTTGGAAGCACTAATTTCTCCCAAGTTGTGATTGGATGTATGAAATCCCGTTTTTAATTGGATAAACGAGATCACGCCACTTTAGCACTGCCGCAAAATCAAAAAACATTGTTTTTCTTCAATCAAAAAAAAAATCCAAAATATTTTTATTACCGTATTGTCGCGAAATAACACGCAGGGGTTAAATTCAAATCCCGGCCTAAATTAAGCTTAATTCAGGCCAAACCTCTAAATAACACGAAAATATTTTATTTGTGCACCTTCAAAATTCTTTCGGCTAGTAAAAAAAAAAACCGAAATAATCTAAGACATTAACGAAAATAAGTGTATTTGATACAACCAAGAAATTTTTGTTCGCAACATTTTGAGAATAAAATTTTGTTGAGATCTACATTTACAAGCTTGTATTTAAAATATACCAATTCTGTTTAAAATTCCTTAATTTGATTGTTTAAAAAATAATTGACACGAACATTTGAAATGTTTCAGGTTGATTTTTATTGAAATTATACAATACTACAAATAAATAAAATGCTACTGAAATTGGTAATTAATAGATCTGTTTTAATACTAATACTATAATGTATCTCAAGTTCTCAAAAGCCATTTTCTCGAAAAAAAATAATTAGTTCTTTCGGGAATATAGTTTTCGGAAAGTGTACAGTAAACTGATACAATTCTGCAATTAGTAGTACTGAAAATAAATGTTACTGCTATGTTGCTAAATAATTAGCAAATTTTATACTCCTACAAAAATAAAAAAAATCAATACTTATTTTGTTTTCTGATTTTGTATTACAGTATGACTTAAAGTAGGTATGTTTATTTCAATTAAAATTTTACAAGATACAGTAAATTTTTACAGTATTATTCGATAAAATTGGCAAAAATTTGTTAACATAAAATTATTTACTAAACTGATAAATCTCAAAAGAGCACAACGTTATATTAAACAGAGAAAAGAATTATTTTAAAAAAATTTATTTTAATCAAAATGCAATCATTGCGAAAATAATATTCAAAGGATTTTATTCTTAGCCACCCTGACTGATCAGTGATGTAATTGGTTTCGTCAAATGGCAACCAATATTTTTATTAGTCCAATGGGAAGTTGGGGAGAAATTAGTAAACCCGAGATATATATTATCATGCTCTAGTGTAGTCTATTTTATTATCATTATCGAAATCTAATAATCAAAATCTTCATCATCTTTTCATAATAAAACTTTCATTATCGAAATCTCTGGAATTTTTTTTGCCATATAAACTTCTGATTTCTCATAAAAGTTCATATTATCGATAGATCTATATTCTTTATTAATAGAATCAAACGATTTCAAATAATATAAAAACTCGGACTTTATGCTCATTCGGTTCTAGTAACATAAATATCTTTCGAACTCAATTTGAATGTTTATTTAGCAAAAATTAGATAAATCATTTATAATGTGTAGGTCATACATTTATTAAATTTCATGCATGTGCAACATAAATATTAAATACAATGATAATATAATTGTCCGAAGCGTAGCGAGGGTTCATCTGCTTTGAGCAACATGTTCATGCAATTTTAGTCACAACAACCAATAAAAAATGAGAGTTGGAATTTTCTAGTTCGTAATTCAGGATGGCATTATGGACTTGGGCCAGAATTATGAAGTACAGATTGCACAGCAATTTAATACGTTTACATCCGGTAGATATTATTCCTTTAAACCAAATTTTAATAAAAACCATTCTATCTATTTTTTATTTTAATGATGTGCTGTATGTAAAATCCCATAGCAATAATTAAAAACATTTTATCTCAAAGATCTATTATCGATAATAATACTATTATTTTTTTTTTCTGTATCTCTAAAAAGTTTACGAAGACTAATGTCTGATGTTCGAATTTATGAATCTAATCAAATTGGATCTGTACATTCGAATTTATACACTGATGAGGATATAATAGCTATTTCGAACTTACAATTCCCTAAAAAAAGCCATGTCCTAGTCTAAGTTAAATAGAGCTTAACATATTTATTAATAAAATTTCAATTAATATATATGTGTATATTTGTTTTTCGTTCTAATTGTGATTATACGATACCAAGCGAAATATTAAATACTACAAAAGTTGTCGATTACTTAAAAAATTTGAGAACTTTTATAAAAAAAAAAGTTGGTTTGATAAATGGTCGGAATATGCAATAATAGTTTCAAAGTGATGGTATAAGAAATAAATGAAAAAAATTTTTAGCATAATGCTGTTTTAATTTTACGATCGCTAACAATTTAATTTGAGCCAATAATTTGTCTGACAGTGTATAAAGCTGTAACTTATTGAAACTTTAAATTATCAGTAATAATTACTGGTAATTTACCAATACAATAGTAACCTACAATTTACTACTATATAACGTATTGAAGTTTCTTTTTTTAGGTTTGTCAAGTAACATCGTTGATGTATGTATTCGTATATGTTGGGCTAAATTAATCCATTTTATTTAATGCTTTACTATGATCAGTTTATAAAATAAATCAACTATTTTATGGTATTTTTAAATGATAAATTTCATAAATATGAGATAGTAAATCATAAAATAAATGCAATAACTATATATTATCCATTTAAGGATACAATGAAATAGCACTATTTCTTTTTTTCACATGTATGTATGCACGTACATACTTGATTTGAATATATTGTACAATACAGCTAAAAGTTGATTATGCGGAAAAAAATTCACAGTAAACATAAATATGCCGATGAAATATCATTTTTCCCATAATAAAAAAAAAAAAAACTATTCGATATTGAATCACCACAATTATGACACGTAAAATCAATGACAAAGGTTTCGATCTCATCAAGAAATTTGAAGGATTTCGGGGCGATTATTATACTGATCCAGTGGTAGATTTATCAAATTTTTATCTTATATATATATTTATATTAAACATAATTTTAGGTAATAATATTTTATTAATATTAGGGTTACAAAACTATTGGTTATGGCCATGCCTGCCACGCTAATGATTGCAGTAATATCACACCACCTCTTACTGAAGCTCAAGGTGAAGAATTACTCAGAGAAGATTTAGTCAAGTTTGAAGAAAGTGTTGAATCACTATCTCCAGGACTTAATTCCAACCAATTCTCAGCTTTGGTTTCATTTACTTTTAACCTTGGTAGTAATGCTTATAAAAATTCTACTTTACTTACAAAAATTAAAAGTGGTGATTTAGAAGGTGCTTCAGAAGAATTTGGTAAGTGGGTGTATGCCGGTGGAAAAAAATCAAATGGCTTGGTGAAACGTCGTGAAGCTGAAAGAGAATTATTTTTGCAAGATGTATAACTTCTGAGGTGAAGAATGGATTAATTTTATAGTATTAAACCATAATAGTAGGGCTAGACAATTGACATCTTATGAATTTTTTTATTATAAATTATATATATATGAATTAATAAAGAGCTAGTTTGTAGAATATATTCAATAATTAAATATTCGTACGTGGTGACTTTTAAATTCGTAGAAAGCGACTTTCAAATTCGTACAAAAGAATAATGTAATTTGGATTAATTAAAGCACAATATATCGTGATCTAGTAATCCAATTTTAATGATTTTGGTACCATTCGAATCAAATCGAACTACTAATTCACGAGATATTGCGATTTAAGTAATCTAAATTACATTGTCCTTTTGTACGAATTTGAAAGTCACTTTGTACGAATTTAAAAGTCACCTTGTACGAATTTAAAAGTCACTGTACAAATTAAAAGTCACTTAGTACGAATTTGGTGTCAAAAGGGATATAGTAATAAATTTAACTAAACTTTAAATTAGAAACAAGCTTTTTTGACAGCTTGAACTTTGAAAACATTACTCAGTAAAAATTTTTAAGTCAGCTTTAAAAGTCATATTTAAAGAAACATTGTATTTAAATAAGTTGTGTTTAGAGAGGTATAACTCAATTAGAAAATGTAACTTGAAAATAAATTTTAAAATATATAATACTTATTCGCTATACCAGTGATAGTTAAGGTTGAATTTGTTTGTTTTAGAATAAATTTTTTATAATCTCTATCGTAAGCTACTGTAAAAAAGCCTGATATAGAGCTTATTCGTTATTTCTGGTAATAATAGAAAGCTTAAGTTAGTTTGTATTGGAATTATCATATTGCTATCACAAGTTACTATAAAAATTTTGTTACAAACTTACTCGATACATAATATAGAATTAAGGTTGGGTTAAAGAACTCGCTCGCTATTCTGATAACTACAGTATGTAGTTGTTTAGTTTGCATCGGTATAATGTTATTATTTCTATCATGAGTTACTGACCAATAGGAGGAGCCGTCGATGTTACACGACTGATATTCACCCGGTGTGCAACAATACCAGATCATTCCGTCAGTACACAATCCTACACCATTTTATTATAATAAAAATTGTGTGGGGTTATAATCATAACATGTACTAGCGGAATTATCTGGTATTTTAAAATAATTTTTTTATATGTTGCACACCAGGTACAATTTCTTTTACTCCTCATAAACTGAGAATTCGGAAATTTCGCTAGAGAATAGACTTGAGTCCTGTTCTTTCCCTAAAAAAAGGAAGAGACTTCCCTTTGCGCAACTCTTACCAACAATGAAAGTCGGCAGAAGTTGAAAGAGGCAACTGAAGCTGCAGAAAGGAAGATCGAAGAAGCAAAATAGAAAAAGGAGATCGCGGCCCAAAAAAAAATCAGCGACAACGAAACTTAGAACAAAAAAAAAGAAAAGCGTAAACGAAAAAAATATGAAAAAAGAGCACAAAGTTAAAGTGCAGTAAAAGTAAACTCTTACCGCGAAGATTTTTAGATCTAGAAAAAAATTAATAAACAAGTGTTTTTTTCAGTAAAAAAAATGATATTCCGATTTTTACAATCTCCTCACCTCCCCAAACTTTGATTTTTGCGTCCCATGTACAAATTGATTATTATGTTCCAAACTTGTTTATAATACTACAATAATTTAGTAAAATCTACTTTAAAATAAGTGTTTATTTATATTATTTTTTTTAAGAAAAGGCGGGTTATATAGTGAGTATAAAGTTTTTCTAGTAATGACCTTAACTTTATCACAATTCCCACTTTACTTTATATTGTGGTTACCAGAATAGTAAGTTCTGTTACAGGATTTTTTTTACAATAATCCATAGTAGAAATAACGATAATATCAATAAAACTAATCGACTTTGACCACATTTTGTAATCGCCAGAATAGCAAGCACTGTGAAATGTTTTTATAGTGACCCATGATAAAAATAATAATTCAATACTGACTAATTCAATATTAACTACTAATAAAAATTATGATAGCTCCAAATGCAAACTAATTCAATCTTAACTATATACTATTAGGGATGGAAAAAAACGGTTTAAACAGTTTTTTAGATACTTTAAAACTTTTTAAAAAAACTTTTTAAACCATTGGCGCTGCGACTAAAATTTAAAATTTAGTACTAAAATGCCGATTCACCAAATTTCATAGAGATAACTTTAATGAAAAATATTCACTTTATAAACTTTGCTTATTATATAATTACAATTGCTTAACTATTTATATACAATTTTTTTCTTTTTTTTGTATACTCCTTTTAATATACATAACTATAAATTTAATTATCGTCATCTTCGAACCAACCATCAATCTCAATTCCTTTTTAAATTCTTAAGTTCTGATAGACTGCACCAAGTTTTTTTTACCCGTTCATTATTTAATAAATTATTCATCTTTTTGGAAGCTTTTTTCTATATAAGTGATCCTTTAATCAAGCGACTAAATC